TCTGGAAGGATAACTGTCTTCTGCTTTATCGACAACATCAGCCACGTAAAACAAGATCGAATCCAAGTAATGTCGCATCCTCGCTCACTCACTTCGTGATAATTATGTGGTCGTGGCAGCAGACCAGCGTGAAGTTGGTTACTTATTCAATATAGGGCTAGCCCAATATTGGACTGGAACAATGTTGGGCTGGCGCAATATTGGGCTAGTTTGATATTCAAATGTTCCTAACATTATAGTTCTTATGCAGCTTTTTCACACCTATACCACAACTGGGCATCTACTAAGGTATCCACATGCAAATCGGCATCAACGATACCCCAGGATAAAGATGCCCACTTGGCATCATTTCGAATTTCAGTACATAATCGTGTTTTTTTCGTTTTCAACAGGCCACGGCATATTGTATAGGTCTAACGCCACCTATACCACAACACGGCATCTTCTAAGGTATCCACATTTAAAACGGCATCAACGATAACCCAGGCTATGGGCATCATTTCGAATTTCAGTACATAATCCTTATTTTTTCGCTTTCAACAGGCCACTGTATATTGTAATAGGTCTTATGCCGCTTTTTCACACCTATACCATAACTGGGCATCTTCTAAGGTATCCACATGCAAAACGGGATCAACGATACCCCAGGCTAACGATGCCCACTGGACATCATTTCGAATTTCAGTACATAATCGTTATTTTTTTTGTTTTCAACATGCCACTGCATATAGTTATAGGTCTTATGCCGCTTTTACACACCTATACCACAACTAGGCATCTTCTAAGGTATCCATATGTAAAACGGCATCAACGATACCCCAGGCTAACGATGCCCACTGAACATCATTTCGAATTTCAGTACATAATCGTTATTTTTTTTGTTTTCAACATGCCACTGCATATTTTTATAGGTCTTATGCCGCTTCTTCAGACCTATACCACAACTGGGCATCTTCTAAGGTATCTACATGAAAAACGGCATCAACGATAACCCAGGCTAAAGATGCCCATTGGGCATCTATTTGAATTTCAGTACATAATCGTGTTTTTTTCGTTTTAAACAGGCCACGGCATATTGTATAGGTCTTACGCCACCTATACCACAACTGGGCATCTTCTAAGGTATCCACATGTAAAACGGCATCAACGATACCCCAGGCTATGGGCATAATTTCGAATTTCAGTACATAATCGTTATCATTTCGTTTTCAACAGTCCACGGCATATTGTATAGGTCTTCTGCCGCTTTTTCACACATATACAACAAGTGGGCATCTTCTAAGTCATCCACATGCAAAACGGCATCAACAATACCCCAGGCTATGGGCATCATTTCGAATTTCAGTACATCCTCGTTATTTTTTTCGTTTTCAACAGGCCACGGCATATTGTATAGATCTTGTGCCGCTTTTTCACACCTGTACCACAACTGTGCATCTTCTAAGATATCCACATGCAAAACGGCATCAACAATTCCCCAGGCTATGGGCATCATTTCGTATTTCAGTACATAATCGTTATTTTTTAGTTTTCAACAGGCCACGGCATATTGTATAGGTCTTATGCCGCTTTTTCACACCTATACCACAACTGGGCATCTTCTAAGGTATCCACATGTAAAACGGCATCAACGATACCCCAGGCTATGGGCATCATTTCGAATTTCAGTACATAATCCTTATTTTTTCGTTTTCAACAGGCCACGGCATATGGTATATGTCTTACGCTACTCGTGCACACATATACCACAACTGGGCATCTTCTGAGTTATCCACATGCAAACGGCATCAACGATACCCTAGGCTAAAGATGCCCATTGGGCATCATTTCGAATTTCAGTACATAATCGTTATTTTTTCGTTTTCAACAGGCCATGGCATATTGTATAGGTTTTATGCCACTTTTTCACATCTATACCACAACTGGGCATCTTCAAAGGTATCCACATGCAAAACGGCATCAACGATAACCCAGGCTTAAGATGCCCACTGAACATCATTTCGAATTTCAGTACATAATCGTTAATTTTTCGTTTTCAACAGGCCACGGCATATTTTTATAGGTCTTATGCCGCTTTTTCAGACCTATACCACAACACGGCATCTTCTAAGGTATCTACATGAAAAACGGCATCAACGATAATTCAGGCTAAAGATGCCCATGGGGCATCTATTTGAATTTCAGTACATAATCGTGTTTTTTTTCCATTTTCAACAGGCCACGGCATATTGTATAGGTCTTACGCCACCTATACCACAACACGGCATCTTCTAAGGTATCCACATGTAAAACGGCATCAACGATAACCCAGGCTATGGGCATCATTTCGAATTTCAGTACATAATCGTTATTTTTTCGTTTTCAACAGGCCACGGCATATTGTATAGGTCTTATGCCGCTTTTTCACACCAATACCACAATTGGGCATCTTCGAAGGTATCCACATATAAAACGGCCTCAACGATAACCCAGGCTATGGGCATCATTTCGAATTTCAGTACATAATCGTTATTTTTTCGTTTTCAACAGGCCACGGCATATTGTATAGGTCTTCTGCCGCTTTTTCACACCTATACCACAACTGGGCATCTTCTAAGGTATCCACATGCAAAACGGCATCAACAATTCCACAGGCTATGGGCATCATTTCGAATTTCAGTACATAATCGTTATTTTTTAGTTTTCAACAGGCCACGGCATATTGTATAGGTCTTATGCCGTTTTTTCACACCTATACCACAATTGGGCATCTTCTAAGGTATCCACATGTAAAACGGCATCAACGATACCCCAGGCTATGGGCATCATTTCGAATTTCAGTACATAATCGTTATTTTTTCGTTTTCAACAGGCCACGGCATATGGTATAGGTCTTATGCTACTCGTGCACACCTATACCATAGCTGGGCATCTTCTGAGGTATCCACATGCAAACGGCATCAACGATACCCTAGGCTAAAGATGCCCACTGGGCATAATTTCCAATTTCAGTACATAATCGTTATTTTTTCGTTTTCAACAGGCCACGGCATTTTGTTATAGGTCTTATTCGGCTTTTTCACACCTATTCCCAAACTGGGCATCTTCTAAAGTATCCACATGCAAAACGGCATCAATGATACCCCAGGCTACACTGGGCATCATTTCAAATTTCAGTACATAATCGTTATTTTTTTCGTTTTCAACAGGCCACGGCATATCGTATAGGTCTTATGCCACTTTTTCACACCTATACCGCAACTGGGCATCTTCTAAGGTATCCACATGCAAAACGGCATCAACAATACCACAGGCTATGGGAATCATTTCGAATTTCAGTACATAATCGGTTTTTTTTCGTTTTCAACAGGCCACGGCATATTGTATAGGTCTTATACCACTTTTTCATACCTATACCACAACTGGGCATCTTCTAATGTATCCACATGCAAAACGGCATCAACAGTACCACAGGCTATGGACATCATTTCGAATTTCAGTACATAATCGTTAACTATCTGTCGTTCTAATTATTGACCTGTTGACTGTGACATATTTACGTGGAAGGGATGATGTACATTTCTGTGCATATATTTTTGAATCGACATACTTTATGACCCCTTATTTTACAGACGAGCTTACTATTTTTTTTACTAAAATTAGATTAATTATGAATTTTATCTCCATTCTTATATTGTTTTATTCTTCATGGTATTTTTTTCTGGTTTGTATCTCTTCCCTCAACAAGGTATCTAGTTTCTTCTATTCGATTTTGTCTGTGTTGCTGTGCTATTTAAGCTATGTTTATCATCTCTTATTTCGAAATTGTAAATAACTTTATTTATTACATTTTTTCCAGTGAAATATCGGATTCTATCAAATTAATAATTTGTTATATTTTACGAAAAGTGATATTTTCAGGGTGTGAATATATCACTTTTTTGTATTGACCAATCATTACGGTATCTTCTATTCGCTGCATTCAAAGGCAACGATTTTTGTCCAGATTCAAATGAAGCGACGTTAGAATAAGTGGTTGTAACGGTAAATATTTGGTACACACACTTAATTAAGTATTTCTATAAATATACAATTAATAACATTTCTATAAGCAATCATACCAGAAAATAAGAGTATCCCATGCAAAATGGCTCGCAGCCGTGTTGTCAAGCGTGACGTCATTAAAATATGGCACTTATCATTATGCTTCTAATTTCCGCCTTTTTTAATATATTACATTTTTCATGTTTTATGCTCTAAAAATGTAATTAATAGAAAATTTAATGGTGTCTTCAGTTATAACAAATATATTTCACGAGTGTGCCTAATATTTTTGATTTTTTTTCACGAGTTCGCAGCAATAACAAATATATTTCACGAGTGTGGCTAATATTTTGATATTTTTCATGAGTAGCACTATAATATTTCACTCTTATTTCAATATTCCTTCCGACCGGATCCTATCGTATTTACTGAGAACAACATACGTTTGTTTTTATAAACAAAACGTTGGCTAAAATAATACCAAATATACTATTGAATATCGAACTAGTAAGAAAGTTGCAATAGCAAGAACATATTTACCAAGAAAATAAGACAGTTTCTAGGTAATTCTGCATCATTTGAAGCTCATCATGTTTGCCCAACAAATATATCGTTAAAACAAACTGCTAGCACAAAATAAATCCCAACTTACGTCCTATCTAGGGACCTGTACATTGCACCAAAAGGTCAATATTAAGTACACATTTTACCTATTTATATATCAACGTATAGAATGCCAACGTCATAATATATGTCGTTCTATTTATTGACCTTCTAATTTTTGTACTTGAGGAGAAGCTTGGTTGTTTACATCGTATTTTATAGCTTAATAAACGATTAATAAAATACCTGAAACTTTCATTTCTTTTAAATTATATTAACAAGGATACGTTAACCTTTATCCACAATAAGACATTCAGATACAAGCATATACGCAGGATATAACACACATACAAGCATGCACGCTTACACAACACACATGAAACCCGCCCTTAACTGACCTTAGCTGTATCAAAACCAATCTACCCTGGATAAATGACACACGTATTGAAGTTCATTTAATAGCACGATATGTAAGACGTCATGCAAGCAGACTGGATATGTGGTATCATTTTTGTTAATCTCAAAAGGGTTGATAGACTTTGCCTATATATACAGGACAGTAAGCCAGACTTCACATCACGTAGTGGGAAAGAGATGTTAACATCGTCTGAGGCTAACCAACATGGATCTCAGTTCGCTTCTCAGCTTTAGTAGTGTGACGGTGGCCATCGTTGTTATATTGTTGATACTGCTGGTCAGTCGGACACTACAATGGCCGGCCAATGTCCCACCAGGTCCATCTGGCTATCCTATCGTAGGAAGCATGCCTCTACTGCGAAAGGGAAATGTGCTCGAGACATTTCGGAAACTTCGAGCACAATATGGCGACGTTTTTAGTATACAGATTGGGCCCATGCTTACCGTGGTCATCAATGGAACCGATGCGTTAAAGGAAGCGTTCGTGAAGCGTGCGGATGAATTCTCTGACAGGCCAAGCAGCTATTTCATAAAAAAGTGTTTTCACTTTAAAGGTAAATTGTAAAAATGCTTAGTCTATTCACAGGGGTTCGTTACAAATGTCTAAAATACACATATGCAATATATGTATGTGCTATTTACAATTCTAAAAATTGACAAAATGAATAATTATCCCGCACTCACCTAAGATAACATATCTTCAAATATGTATTGCAATGTACTGGTAGTAATGTTGAATTAAATTATACTTGTTTCTTGTCTCCGTAAATTATCTTATATATTTCTAATCTAATACAAAAATGTATTAATAAGACATACATTGCATGTATATTATATTTATGCTTTATTTATATATATCACCCCCTGATGAAAGTATGGAGTAGAGGCGAAGGTGCTAGGTACCTGTTAGTTATCTGTTTTGGTCTAGAGATTTGCCTTCGTAAAGACTTTTTTAAATTCATACAAACATTGATGCGTGCCGTGTATGATTGGGTAATTAGAAAGTATCAAACGGGTCTATACATTTATATGTATAGAAAGATGTAAAATATACATATAGAAAGATAAGATTAACAAATATAACGTAATTTCATCACTTACGAAATAAACGATGACACACAAACTTATGTTAAAATCTAATCTAATGGGTTTTTTTAGGTATTGGCCCCTCGTCCGGTGAACACTGGAAACAAACACGGACATTTTCTCTGTCCACACTTCGGAATTTTGGATTTGGAAAGAAGTCTTTGGAATCAAGAGTCCAAGAGGAAATAGAGGCTTATTTTGGTATCATTGAAAAGCAAAACGGACAACCTTACGACGTGAACGAAGTGACCACCATGGCCATATCAAATATCATATGCAGTATTACGTTCGGAAACCGATTTGAATACACTGACGCAAAATTCCAGCGACTTACGTCACTTTTCGCTGAGAACTTTAGGTTAAATTCGGTTGGAGGGACTATACGATCTTTCCCAGTATTAAGATTCCTTCCCGGGGATATGTTTAATATAAAGAAGTTAACTCAAAATCTCACCGATATCAAATCTTTCGTTTTTGAACAAATCGCTGAGCATCGAAACACGTTTGAAGAAGAGAATCAGCGAGATTTCATTGATGCGTTTCTGAGACAACAAAACAAACATGGCGAACATGATCCGATATTTGATGGTAGGTAGCAAAGATATATAATTAGATTATTACTCTTTAACAATATTTATTTTAAACGCTGTTTCATAAAACAGATATCAATTTTGTTCTTGCATTCTTGATTCAACTTATTTTAAATAAAAAGAACCAGAATATAAATACTAAGTATGAGGGAGATACTTTTTTAACGTTTAAAAGGGGTTTTGTGTACATTTTCCACTTATCCTGTATTTTTAAGGTATTTCAGAACACTTTTATATGGATTTGTCAAACGGTTGACCTACATAACCCAAATATCATCAATCAACCTCAACTTTATTTCATTTTTTTGGGGGATATTTGATTTGTATCATTTGTTAAAATGTAATTTGAAATACATGTTTTACAATTTTCCTTGTGCCTGAATATTTATTTTTTACTTCACGCCCGGATATAGATATGAACTTATCAATCTCCGTCATGAATTTGTTTACCGCCGGGACTGACACAACAGCTACCATTATTCGCTGGGCGATAATTTACCTCATTCACAACAAACCTATCCAGGACAAGCTCCGACAGGAGATTGAGACTGTGGTCGGAACGTCAAGGCTTCCGTCACTCGGCGACAAACCCTCCATGCCTTACTACGAAGCATTTATAACAGAGGTTTTCCGGATGGGCAACATCGTTCCACTGTCTGTGCCTCACGGGGCTAAGAAGGATATCCAATTCCGAGGCATGATTATCCCAAAGGGATCCTCGATAATTCCGAATCTTGACTCCGTTATGACTGATCCAGATCTGTTTGAGAATCCGGATCAGTTTCAACCCGAGAGATTTCTAGGAAAGGACGGACAAATGAACGGCAAGGAAAGGACTGTAATGGCTTTCTCCCTAGGTACTTACATATTTTTATCTGTTTGCTTGCTTTTTGTTAATAAATGTATATATTTATTTTTCATTGTTTATATCGACTTTAAGACCGATTCGGATGTCAAACGCTTTGGCCCCAAGCATCAAGGAATAGATCCTATATGGACAGGACAGGTGTATGGTGCAGTGTTACTCATTTTTAGCATACTGCATCGATTACCGAAGGGGTTAATCACCTGTGTGTGTGTGTCTTACAATTATCTTTCACCATATAAGTAGTAGATTCCGCTGGTTGACCTTTTTAAAAATACCCAAGTTTTGTCGTAATCCTGATAGCGAATTCATCTCTTTTGAGCAGCGGCCTTGTTTATCAAATGCACACTTTATTCATTATTAATTTGAAATCAAACGATACTCCTCTAATTTGTGAAACTCACATAATGAATTATAGTTAAGACCAATTTTGAGTCCAACCATTTTGACACCTAATATCACTGTCGAAACCCTAGAAGGCCAAAACAGCTGTAAGGTGCAGTGTAAGTTCCTTTTGGCATACTGTTTCTATTAATAGGTGCAATCATATATTTATGTCTTACGTTCGTCTTACCGAAAGTCTAGCCGCGAATCTCTAAATAAAGTAGCAATGTCCCATACATACTAGTTTGCATTAATGAATTAAAGAATTAATCTCATTTTGTTTCTTACAGGAAGACGAATTTGTCTTGGAGAATCCCTGGCGAGGTTAGAGCTATTTTTGTTCATAACCTCATTGCTGCAGAGGTTCGAGTTTCTCCCAGAAAGCCCCGACAAACTCCCATCATTTGACGCGACTTTGGGATTGACGCGGGCGTCCAAGAACTACAAGTGCCGCGTTGTTAAGCTGAAATGAATATTGAAACAAACAATATTGGAGGATTTGGACATATATACAGTATCTTATACAGTATCTTAGCCATTTCATCTACTTATTCCTCCTGAACTCACTTATTTGATAATTACTTGCAGAGTTCCTGCAAACCAAAAGAGGCACATGCATTATTTCTGTAAACCAAAAGAGGCGACTAAGTGCGAACCCCCTTCTGTGACTGTTAGAATCATCGCAGTATTGAGAGGCGACTAATGAGACATTCGGTAGCAAATTGGAGATTTTTCACATTTACCGGGCCAGATTTCCACATGCACATGTTCCACGTTTTTGATATCTCTCGTTGACTCACTTTATATGATGGTGCATCTTGCGCAAGAATAGGTCCTCTACATCAGCGTTCCTTGTCCGCGATGCTCTCATCTTAATTGCTGCCTTCGGCTGTCTTTAGCCGAGGGGACTATTGGTTTTATATAATAGCTATATTTTCAATTATAGTATATCAATTCTATCTTCTTGTAATATGATGTATATGAACATGTAAGTGTTCTGTTTCACTGTGTCTTGAAAAAGGAGCTGATCGCTCCGAAAATTTGACAACCTAAACTTGTCCACACTGTTGGAATTACTTCTTTGCCCCATATATTGGTTCAATATATATATATATATATATATATATATAAAGTATTTTTTTGTATCATTTTATTGTATTATGGGGGTTCTATCATACAGAATTCCATTTTAAGTATGTAATATACTCCATAAGAACAGGACAGAATTTGATGAAACTTTGCATTCAATGTATGTTCTAAATATGTATTGAACAGTTGTCGATGCGAATTGGTTGCTCTTTTATATCCCTGACGACCATACACCACCCCACTTAAACCATATTTAAACAGATGCAACATTACATCTTTATTAATCCAAACTTCACGCCGATGTATATCGGATTATTTGTACATATTTGAGTAAAACGATAAAATGCTTGGTCATTGAAATGATATCACCTATTTATTGTTGTGATATCACTAACTACAGTATTCATTACGGTGATATCACCTGTTCAATAATCTGAAAAACATGCAAACAATCATCAGATATACAGTATAGATATTTTTATATATAAATGTATTAAGTAAGGGTCTTCGTTAAATTGAAATAATATATATATATTAGTAAAAATTTAAACAAACCGAATTCAGCGAAACGAATTAGGAATGAAATGTAATAGAGTTTCCACTTTCAGTAATACCCTGTTTCGAAAACACTTACCGTCAATTACAAGGTTTAAACAAATCAGCAGCATGATGTTAACACATCTTCTCTACTTCCTCTGAGTATAAGGATCGTTAGATATTATTTCGATAAAGGATGGTGTTATTAAGTATTTAAATCAATTACATTTGTGGGATCGCACAACGTTACACGATGTGCGGTGTGCGCACGATGTGTGCACGGCGTGTGAACGGTGTGGGCACGATGGGTGAACGATAAAAAGCTGAACGATCATTGCTTGCGCACATATGTGCGCACGATGGACGGACGTTGTGCGATATCAATCGTGGTTGGTGTAAATTGAGGAATGCCTTAACAATTAATACGGTTTCGTGTTTAAACATATAAACTTGATGTTTACGTATGTTTCTATATTCTAGCGACATCTATAAACTTATCTTTCTGTCTATATGTTCTTATATTTAGGAATTGTGTTTTCTGTGTTTTTAAACAAACTTAATCGACACATGTAAAATTACAACACAATTCCGTATACAGGTAAACATAACCACTTTGTACATGTACCTGGACCGTAGTTTTCTCCCCGCCTGGGGCATTTACGTAACTCGTCGGGTAAGGCCGAGTTGTGAAAATCCAGGTGAAGGGGAGCTATAGACAAACGAATGCAAATAACAAATACTATTCATTACGGTCAAACGGTATCGCATATCAGCTCTGTGTGTCAGGCACTGGTCAGGTAAAACTCCGGACACTCATAAAATTGTTATTTACCTGTTCTGTTACCTTGGAGCCAAACCCATTCTTGACAGCCTAACGGTCGCTGTAATACTGTGAAACACGCATTGTGAAATTATACAATCTTGATTATTGTGATGAGAAATTACAGATATATACACAGTGTACAATATCGTATACAAGCCTTCCGTATTTTTGTTATTCCGTAATTTTGATCTACAAATGATACCAAATCGCACAGTTGTGCGGAGAGAAGCGCACAACGGGGCGAACGATTGCTAAATCGCACAGTTGTGCGCACCATGTGTGGACAATGTGCGGACGGTGTGTGAACGATGTATGCACGGTGTGCGCACGCTATTTTTGGTGCGTTGTGCAGTCCCACAACTGTAGAATCAGAGTTTAAATAAACATACAATTTGTCAACATTTTTTTTCAGTTTGGTAAGACTAGCTGGTACACAGCTTCATAAAGCACAGCCAGTGAAACGCTTGGATATGACGTTTTGGTGACTTGTATAATAAGTGTTCTGTCAGCTTCATCAGAAAAAAAATCACAGATATTTTTTCTGGGGAAGGTTACGGAGTACAGATCGTTCAAGTTATCGAAATATCACACATAAATGATTTACTGGCTGTGCTTTCTGAGCCTACAAACAATAACATGTAACTTTTTAAAGATGGGAAAACAAGCTTTAAATTCCCATTAATGTATCACTTTAACATTTGTATAGTGCTTTGATGTTTTGTCATACCTTTTTCTATCAAATACAATATTTTCAGATTCATTAACATGATGTGTTTTATATTTCTTTCTAAAGAATAAAGGATGCTAAACAATATTTGTAAAATATGTTAAATCTCAACCCTACCAAAAAACACCTCGCACACATACAATCCATTAGTTGACCTATGTCACACCAAAAAGATGGACACTTTACCATGTTTTACCATTTTTGGAGGTACTCCACAGAACGTATCTTACGTTGTACAGACGAACCGTTGTAGTATTCTAGCTACTAGAATGTTTCTAGAAAAGTTTCCATATTATTATCATTCAATCTAAAACGTGTCAAATTATGATTACCAACTTGTACCTGGACATAACTGAGAACATTAAGTATCACATAATGGAGAATGGTCTGAGAAAGTGTCAAACACCAAAGTTGATTAAAATTGATATTTTTTCCTATTACAGTATCAAAAGTTAATACATAATCGACAAGACTAGTACCTTTACCATTATAGAAGGTAATACTGTCATTTGGATCATTTTGTGCCTTCCAACAACTTTTCTTAAGGCAGTAATATTGCACAAGGATGAAAGTTGTCTTTCAAACTGATTAATAACTGGATCTGAATTGGAACGTTTATGTGGAACAGAATGTAGCATATAAGCTACAATATTTAAGATAACATTGACAGATAAGTCAGCTATGCTGTCGTTACAAATATGATAGCTGTTGTAATCCACTCTGCTTTTAAAATCACCAAGTACGGTTACTTTACCTTTTAAACTGACTCACCATTTCTTCTTGACATGAAAACAGATAATTCTCACATTTTCAGCTCACCTGGCCCGAAGGACCAAGTATGTCTTGGTGCTACGTCCGTCGTCCGTTCGTCCGTCCGGCGTCAACTTTTTACTTTAAATAACCTCTTCTGAATAATCAGAAGGCCCAGGGTGGTGATATTTAGCCAGTAATATGCTGGGCTAAAGGGCTACCCAGTTTGTTTAAATGAGTGATCTTGACTTATATTCAAGGTCACAGGGATCAAAGATTTTAAACCTTTAAATGACTTCTTCTGAATAACCGAGAATGTTGATAAATTACCAATACCACGCTGGGATGAATAGCTACCTAGTTTGTACAAATTAATGACCTTGACTTATCTTCAATGTCACAGGGTGTCAAGATGTTTAAAATCTTTAAACGACTTCCTCTGAATAACCAAGAGATCCAGGGTGAAGATATTTGGCCAGAAGCATGCTGATATAAAGTGTGACCAAGTTTGTTCAAATGAATGACCTTCACCATATTCAAGGTCACACAGGTCAACTGTCTTAAAAACCCTTTGTACGACTTCTTCTGAACAATCAAAAGGCCTAGGCTAATGATATTCGGCTAGTAGTATGCTCAAATAAGAAACTTTGAAGAGTGCTCTAAAGAATAACCTTCATCCGTATTCCAGGTCACAGGTGTCAAATATGTTGAAAACTTTAAACAACTTTTTCTAAATAACCAGAAAGCAAGGGTGATGATATTAGGCCAGATATATGCTAGGTTGAAGGGCTACCAAGTTTGTTCAATGAATGACCTTGGATTATATTCAATATATATATATGTGTAAAAATAACCCTTTAAATGACATATTCTTGATAATCAAAATGCAAAGAATGGTGATTGGGGACTACTAGCATCCTCAGATGAAGAGCTCTCAAGATTGTTCATGTGAATGACCTTGACACTCTGTCAATGTCACATCTGGTCAATTGTGTATAAATATTTGAATGTCATCTTCTCAATAAACAAAAGATATAAGGCAGTGATATTTGGTAAGTTGCAAAGTATTTGAGTTCAATACCAGGTGAGCAATGCAGGCCAATTGGTCCTTTTGTTTTTTATAAAAAGTGTTATTTACAGGCGGTAAATAACCGGCAAACAATATAATTTAACATTGTCATTATACATGTATATATCACGAGATACTTTTAGTAAAACAATATTGTCTTTTATATTTTCAATGACAAACAATCGAAGATCTAATGAAAATAACAATGCCGCCACCTTTACCGTGCAATCTATGGAAAATATGTCTCATTACCTACTAATTCAACAGCATCTTGTTTATTGACCCAGCAATCATACCAGCAGACAATAATATGATTATTTACAATATTAACGAAGTCTTGATATTCAAACTTTTCAGGAGACCTACATATGTTCCAAGACGTAATGGGAAAACCCTCCACACTACCCTGATATGGATTGTGAGGTGCGGCTCCTCGTGAACCGATTTTATGTCCTGGTGCTATGTGACTTTTAAAACTGACATTATCTTATACGTAAATAAGATTTCTCTGCTCTGCGAATTTACTTCTGCATGAGGTAGCAGAGTACAGTAGAAATGGCTTGACCCTAAAAATAAAGGGCATGTCTCAGATAAACATGGATAGCGGATTCATCCTGCACAACACACCTACATATATATATATATATATATATAGAAGAAATAAGATTAACGACCGACTAAAAAACTAGCTGCTTTCACCATTCACAGTTAGCTTCAGGTTTATAAACTACATTTTAAATACGTTGTTTTTAGAAGAATGAATATTTTTATTTTTTTAAAGTGATTTCCCCAGATTTGCGACTTGTGAAAACCATGGTTACCAAATCAAAAAACGCCAAAGAATGCAAAAAAAACATGATGTTTAACCCAAAATTTTACCCAAGCAAGTAGTATTGCTTTTCTTAAAACCCATCTTAAATTAAATATCACCTACTCGGTCACAGAAATACTCACGTTTTAGCATAGGTTGCAAACTGGATTTTTCACAATATTTACACATGTGCTGAGTACAAAAATAGACTACATGAAAAGCTAGCATTTGTTGTGTAGACACAGATTCGTTAATGGCCAAAAATGTAGTCTCAAGCCAAATTCGATTTTTTTTTTAAATGTGAAGCCCACATAGTCCAATTCATCATGTATATGCCAATTTTAGAGATAATGTGTTTTTTTAACTTCTGACACATGTAATATTACAGGGGTTATTCATTGTACAAAAATATCACCCATGGCCACCGTACGCTACTGTACACTGCTACCTGAATTGCTATGAAACAACTGCGCGTTCGTTGTTGACCATTCCCGTTGGTTGATAATCGGGAATAGGAAGTACACCAAATGACTGTGAACTGTTTGGCTTGTCATATTGCTGAGAGGGAATATTTGAATTACTATTGACCTTTCATGGTCCATGAACTTCAGCCTCAACTACAAAGGTCTGATTGCTTGTCGAGGCTGTATCATGAGGTGATGGTTCCGCTGCTAAAGCTGGAGAAGGGAGAGTCGGAAACGAATCAGACATTATATTAGCTCACCTGTCTTCCATTGGAGACGACGACATGAGTCGCCGTTAAGTCTTTCTGCTGTTTCGCAGTGTAATAAAGTCAATTAGCGGAGCCTGCACAGCATATATGCAAGAACCACGGTTAAGTCTAGATTATATCTGTTGACTTTCTAGAAAACTCGGTTCTTCGTGTAATGCCTCAGTAGAACCATTGAACAACCTGCCGTAAACAGTATTATCTCGAACTAGTTTTACACTGCAACCGTTAGTTCTGTATCGTTTCATTACATGCAAAAGAGGCTTGCGACGCTTTGGAGGAAACTGTTCACTTATACCAAACTGGATACCGCGAAGGAGGTAGTCTCTTTCCAACACTGCTTGTCGATATGCGTGATAAATAAAGCGAGCAATTATTGAACGTTTCCTACTAGGAATGCATTTCTTGATACCATGCACATTGCCAAATGCTATGGTAACATGTTATCCAAATTTGTTCCATATAAATTCCTTGAGCTTGTCTTCAGTATTTTCATTGTATTGTTCCCGCAGACCAGTGAAAACTAAGTTCTTCTTCAAGGAACGGCACAGGAGGTCTTTTACAACACTGAACAGTTCTTTAACTTCTTCCTGAGGGAATGTTACTCACTGTCCTTATATCTGCGATGTTCCTCCACTTGACTGTCCATTCGTCTAACCGTTAGCTCGCTGGCCTCTGTTCTTGTCTTTACATCCTCATAGAGGTTACTCCTATTCTGCGCTGATGTTCCTAGTTCTCTCAAACGGTCTTTATCTCACATTCCAAACCAATCACTTTACATGCTAGGGATGTCACCGAAAACTCAAACTTGTCTGTGTTTTTCTCTGTTACGTTTGCTCCTAAACCGGTTACCAATCGACTGTCCATCCTCTGAATCATTGCAATGACGATCTCTGATGTAGCAGTACCACGCAGGGCCCATTGGGCCTCTCGAAAATCTTTCAATTCTATACTTATGTCTTATGAAAAGTTATTTTTACACAACCAATACAATTTTGTATGTGAGGTTTCGATGACTAGTACGATATATACACTGTCACCTTCATCAGACAAAAACAATTCTGATGAAGGTGACAGTGTACATATCGTCATAGTCATCGAAACCTCACATATAACATTTCATTGGTTGTGTAAATAGATCTTTTCATAAGACATACTTCCCAACATGAAGAAAACGTTTAGCTATACTAATGTCCATATGAGCTCCAGTAGACCGTGACGAATGTACAGGTAAGCACACGGGTAACAATGTAATGAAAAGGGCTATATATATAATGTATAGCACAAAGTGAATAGATATCATACATATTCCTACAGCCAGAGTTGCCACGAAAATCACAAAAGGTAAAACATCACGCCTTTCTATAGTTGACATCAAGGTCATATATGAATATATATGTCGTTCTTTTTGTTGAGCCTACTAGGTACGTCTAGCTGACGAGTTTAACGAACTCAAAAACAAAGTACCAGAAACTTTATCTTTTAATTGTATTTTCACATTAACAAAACCCCATTAACCATTTTGTCTTTAGTCACAATGGGGCATACATGTATCTATTTTTAACATTCTACTGGATAAACAACATTCGTACTGAAGGTCATTTAATAGAACGAAAGGTAAGCCGTCCTGCATTTAGATCGTCGACTAAGCTCCTAGTGCTTCCAATTGACGTAACCGGGGAGATAATTGTATACATCGTCTGCGGTTGCGCCTTATAGTTTGTCTATATAGGTCACAGTTGCAATTATATTGTCAGTTTTCAGTGTGTGTTTCGAAGCAACATGGATTTCGGCTCGTCTCTCAGCTTTAACACTGTGACAGTGGCTATCGTTGTTGTATTGTTGATCCTGCTAGTCAGTCGGACACTACAATGGTCTGCCAATGTCCCGCCCGGCCCATCTGGCTATCCTATCATAGGAAGCATGCCTCTACTGCGAAAAGGAAACATCCTGGAGATATTTCGAAAACTTCGAGCACAATATGGCGACGTTTTTAGTATAAAGATTGGACCCAATCTTGCCGTAGTCATCAATGGAGCCGATGCGTTGAAGGAAGCGTTCGTCAAGCGTGCGGATGAATTCTCTGACAGGCCAAGCAACTATTTGTGAATGTAAATTTGGATTACGTTTATAAAGTATTATAGTTTTAACAGGGGCGAAACTGGTTTACAAATAGTTTGTAGGCACTTGTTCAATTGGCTGGAAAAGCTAACCTCCCGGAAAAACGAAGTTCCACATCGGAGAGGGAACGGAAGGTTGTTGGTCATGTTGTGAGTAAAGGTTGAGGAAAACGGCTGAGGTACATGTAGTAGAGCTGGTAGTGTCATTGATTTCAAGTACAGGAGGGTATAAATACGATCGACGTGGTTGATAAATGTAATAAAGACAGCACCTCGCCGATATATCTGAAGATGGGTCTATCATAAGTTGTAAAACTTGATTAAAAACTACATTTCAACAGTTATGTATTGCTTTATATTATATTATATTATACCGTAAATGAGATAAGGAATGAAATTAAGTTAATATCAAAGATTCTTGTGAAGTTTCGGAATACAACATGAACGAGGCAGATCCGTATCGATATCATGAATGGGTATCAGAAACGATTTCTTTTATACATGAAGCGTGATAAGAAAATATGGAAAGTGTATAGGTATTGTTTCCTTGGTTATCAAGCAAGCTCAGTTCTTTTTACGCAAACAGGCAATGTTATAGGTTTTGCAGACAGAATTAAAATATTTGATGTTCTCTCTGCAGACAAAATACACACAAATCAAGCAAATTGTTGAGTGTGGTTGGGACAGTGGGCTAAGGAAGCACAGACGTTTTTGGCTGATGGACTTGACCCATTCTGAAAGTAAATCCAATCATCATGCTCTCGTTGTGGCCCTATGGTTTAATATACATGTACGGCTTAATAGATGCTATTTAAATTACTTAGTTAAAGACGGAATAAAATAACCTGACAAAAGAAAACGTTACTTTAGAAAATAAGTATTTACATGGTAGCATGTTTGGATAAATGAATGTCGTCCCATCGTGCAGAGAGAATGGTCACTTTTTCATAATTTGCTAGCCTACTTTCGACTGATATTCTATGAGTGCCAAATCAGGTCAGGGTGAGACATGGGAATCGAGGAATGATACCTTACTTTGAGTTACTTTGGAATACAAGAACGTTTCACGTCGAGGGGGGTTCTCTGACTTGGTCTCTGAACTTTTGATAGTTCGAATTTTCTGGACCACAAAATTGTTAATCGTTGTGGTATTAGCATTGTTCAATGTAAGCTTGACTGTTGCACTAATGTGTAATACAGGATACTTTCCACTCCGGACAAAATCATCTTTTGTTTATCTTAATTTTGTGTATTGGTCGGGTGGCGCAGTGAAAAGCGCACCTGCATCCGGGCCAACATAAGTGATTAATATAAGTTTTATAACTTGTTTATGTCTTTATAGGTATTGGTTTCGCCTCCGGTGATCACTGGAAACAAACACGGACTTTTTCTGTCGACACTTCGGAATTTTGGATTTGGAAAGAAGTCTTTGGAATCAAGAGTCCAAGAAGAAATAGAAGCTTATTTGGATATCATTGAACAACAAAACGGGCAATCTTACAATATAAAAGAAATGACAACCATGGCCATATCAAATATCATATGCAGTATTACGTTCGGAAACCGATTTTAATACACTGACGCAAAATTCAAACGACTAACGTCACTATTTGCTGGGAACTTAAGGTTAAATTCGGTTGGAGGGGCCATACGATCATTTCCAGGTGTACGATTTCTTCCTTGAGATATGATCAATGTAAAGAAGTTGATTCAAAATTTCACTGATATCAAATGTTTCGCTCTTGAACAAATAGCCGAGCATCGAAAAACGTTTGCAGAAGAGAATCAGCGAGATTTCATTGATGCGTTTCTGAGACAACAAATCAAACATGACGAAGATGATCCGATATTTGATGGTAGGTAACAAAGATATATGGTTAGATTGTTGATGAAGAAAAGATTATTATCATTTTACGTGTGTGATTTTATTCATTTTAAAACATTTGACATAACTAAAATCATTGTGTGAAATATATTAATAATAACAACCGCATGATCATATTAGATTCTTAGAAGGTATCAAAAATATACGTATTAAAAATGTAAAGATACATTATAGTTTTAATAACTATTGAAATTTTGTTATTTTTTTTATGAAAGGTGATTCATTAAAAGCCGTATTAAAACCTTATACACAACACCTTGTACCAATCTTTAAATCATAGCAAACATTTACCCTGCTGTTCTTTTCCCTATTTACACTTTTGACTTTTTCCGGAGACACACGATTTTGTCTTTTCACTCGTGTAAGCATGATGTCAAATATTCCAGTATTTCTTACGCCTGACATTATTTAATATCTTGTATGTCTATAGATATGAACTTAGCAACAGTCGTCATCAATCTGTTCCTTGCCGGGACTGAAACAACAGCTACCATGATCCGCTGGGCGATACTTTACCTCATTCACAACAAACCTATCCAAGATAAGCTCCGACAGGAGATTGAGACTGTGATCGGAACGTCAAGGCTTCCGTCACTTTGCGACAAACCCTCCATGCCTTACTACGAAGCTTTTATAACAGAGGTTTTCCGGATGGGCAACATCGCTCCACTGTCTGTGCCTCACGGTGCCAAGAAGGATATCCAGTTCCGAGGCAGGCTAATCCCAAAAGGGTCGGTCATTATGGCAAATCTTGACTCGGTTATGACTGATCCAGACCTGTTTGAGAATCCGGATAAGTTTCAACCAGAGAGATTTCTAGGAAAGGACGGACAAATGAACGGCAAAGAAAGGACTGTAATGGCTTTCTCTCTAGGTACTTATATATTTTTGTTTGTTTGCTTGCTTTTTATTTATGAACATATATATATACATATTTATTTATTGTAAGTATACTTTTGTTTATTGACGTAAAGACTAATTTGGATGTTTGGCCACTAGCATCACCGGTGAGTCGTAGAAGGACGGAACAGCTGTATGATGACATGTAATTCGTTTTTGGCATATTATATCTATTACTAAAGGTGTAATCACTTGTATGTGCATGTCTTACGTGTTCCTGTCAAGATACAAGGTAGTAGACTGATAAGTCTCCGATTGTTCCTTTAACAGAGGTTGTGACAGTATATAATGATACTCATTATTAATTTGAAATGAACAAGTACTCCTCTAATTTTTTAATTCATATAATTAAGAGATTTACGCACCCCCCCCCCCCCTCTTTTAGAAATAGTTCAGACCAATTATGAATCCAACCATTTTGGCACTTCAAATCACCGACGATCCTTAGGAGGTGTAAGCATTTGTATGTGTCTTTTGTTCATCTTTAAGTGATTATTTTGTGACAGTATAGTCGCTAATCTGAATATAAAAATATCCAGTTAATACTTGTATATATAGATTAAGTAAAGACTTTATCTGATAATATTATTTACAGGACGACGAATCTGTCTTGGGGAATCCCTGGCGAGGTTAGAGCTATTTTTGTTCCTAACCTCATTGCTGCAGAGGTTCGAGTTTCTCCCAGAAAGCCCCGACAAACTTCCATCGTTCGACTCCACCTTGGGAGTGGCGCGGGCGTCCACGGACTACAAGTGCTGCGCTGTAAAGCTGAAATGAAACATTAAAACAAAACATATGTGAGAACTTTGACCAATATGTATATACAAATATGTTTTAATTATTTAATCATTATACAATATGAATCGTATATAATCTCACTTTAAGTATGTAACATTGCTATTGTATTCATTTGCTTCAATGAACTCATTATTACACCTAAATATCGTTGGATTATAGATATAAACATATTTTTATTATCAGCATAATAACTGTATTTTATACTCAAGTGTCTTACTGATTGTTCCGAAAAAATAGTTTTGATGAATCTCTTTTTAAGCGCGAACATTTGCTAGGTGTTTTTATGTGAATTTCTTATTTATGAATAAGTTTTTTTTATTCAACAATGAAACACACATACAATTTCTGAAGGATGAAACAAACCCAAGCTAATGGCTTTAAATTTTTCTTGATATTTCAATAGAACTTTATCACGGTGTATTACTTTACACATGTTTTGTTCACTTTTATTTTTAACAATACAAAGCGTTTGGGAAGATTTTTTTAAAATACAGGATGCTTTATTTACTTTGCATATAACAATTTCCCAACACATTGTTGCTATAAAGTGTCCCTGTGTGTGTCCTTCTTAACAGACAAATCATGTTTGTGTCAAGTAGCTGTCAAATATATCCGGTTCATCACTGACATCAGTAGAAAGCACGGACTATACCTATATCACACCATACAGAAGAAAAAATAACTAACTTCGAGGTTTTCCACAGGTGGTCTGTTACGTTATGCAAACGAATACTGACGTTGAGGCAATTTAGATAAAGAATCCATCCCGAGGGCCAATATACAGTTTGTCATTGTTAATCTTATACTTTTTGACTGATGTTGTATGTATTATTTTGTGTATGTAAAGTTTATTATCCATTGTTTGCAAGTTAATAAAATGCATAGAAACTCTGTAAGAGGAAAAAAAGGTTGTGTCACTTATTACTTTTAATTATTTATAGTATTATGATTATACTCCATCCTTGTTTATCCAACCAAGCAAATTGTCAATGATCTTGATATCCCTTTTCCCGAACATTTCAAACGGATCCAGTCATTTAATCTTTGAATACGGTGGTTTGACTAACGACGCTAAACAATATACAATTGTTAAGGCATGGAAAGATGTGATAGCATGAGACTTGCACTGAAAAGTGCAAACATTTTAAGTAATTTGAACTACAAATCCATGAAATATTTAAAACGAAGCCATTTAAAAAGTACAAGAAAAATAACACCAGGTGTCTTCGGTTATGTAATAATACGTTGTTTTATCACATAGTGTACTGTGTTATCCAGTGAATATACCCATTTCATATTTGTTTGCGTATTAGCCCATGTAATATGACATATCAACCATGTGATTGGTTGTAAGTTTCAAGTGTGACGTCACGCCTAGGACAAGTACATCATGTCACAGACTTACGCATAGGAGTCAAAATGGCGGCTTTTTACATTTCAAGGTTACATGAATAAATGCCACAAATTCTGAATATGTGATGAAAAGGATCTCACAATCGTATTCGTTTCATATGAAATTTATATAACTCTTCTCGAATTTTTCATTTTAGCCCGTTAAATTGAAAAACTCTTAGACTCTTAGAAATCGCGACTGCCAACACGAAGGAATGTAAGCGAAACCAAGTGATATTCACTTGTCAGAACCAGACACCGATGCACTTCCTATTTGTGTGCAGTGTACTGCAGGATAGAAAAAAAGCAATTTCATCCCTAAGACGAAACTCAAGGAGAAAAGCAATATGCGCAGTATTCCCAAGAAGACATGCTGCAACTACAAAACATTTTAAACAAGGATTTTTCCCCTTTTACTTTCAATTTTTAATACCACTAAGTCAAAAATGGACGACTGAAGGCGGATATAGTTTAATGAATAATTATGTTATTTGACTTTCTGAATCGTCTCTTTAATATTTTTACATATGCTTCGTAATTGTAGTGATTATGTTCAATTATGTTTTGTTCTTGTTGTTTTATGTGACTTACATTATGTGGTCTAGTGGATGGTGCGTTGTAATGTTAAACAGTTATATTAAATTAATAATTCATACCTTTTCATCTCATCAACTGTATAGTATACACTTACTAAATACTAAATGTTCTCTCTTGTTGCTAGATAAGTAGATTTATTTAGTGCGTGATTTAATATGGTCGTATAAACACAACACAACACATGTGTATGTAATCACTTGAAGTATCATTGTCCCACTACATTGAAGTTATTCGTACATACAGTAACCTCTCCTTACTTTCGTTTTAGATATAACTAGCACAGATTGGTCAGGACACTTTCGTTTTAGATATAACTAGCACAGATGAGTCAGGACACTTTCGTTGACTAGGCAGCTCAGTCGGTTAAAGCGACAATATAACAACAAAGTTCAGGGCTCGAATTCCCGTCTAGTCCAACTTTTTTTTCTCAATCAGAGTACTGTTATTGAATATTGTTTCGTTTGTTTCATTTCTATTATATTTAAGAGAAGTCCCGCATGGTAAAGATTCCTTTTCAGAAATTATCTATCAAACCTATATTCATGTCGACAAGTGCGGCTTCCAGTTCACAGTTTCTGTTTTGGCAGTGGGTTGAGTATCCTGAAGTTTACATCAATTATATGTAATGTTATACATCAAAGACGTTATGCTTTTAAAAAAGCAAAATAGCGAGTTATATCACCTGGGAATATGAAAAGGCCAACCGGGGTAAGATAGCTAGTGGAGAGATGTCAATAGTTTCGCTTTACCACCACATCGCTTCATAACTTTGATATCTGAAGTGGGATAATTTTGTTTAGGATATACATCTTGAAAAGCACTCATATCTTTATCAATAAGTAGGGTAAATTATGTTCAAAAGCTTTTCTTGTTTATTCTCTATGTGTTTCAAACAAAAATATCGATGTCATTCCTCAACGGTATTAGACAACGACCCAGACAACTGTGATAATGATATGGTATACACACCGCCTCGGTAATAAAACATACCTAAATACATATATTAATTGTAAAAGCAAACACGGATTCATGGAAAATGCATGTGTCAAGGGCTAAAGTACTTCATCTGAACTTAATACTTCCATCACAGCAAATTTGTAATATCAATATCAGTGGCACTAAACTTTACTTATTGCATGTGATAAAAACGTTGCCATGTCATCAATATTATTCATCAATTTGGAAATATGTATGTATCAAAGTAATATAATATATAAATAAATGTACGAATCAAACGTGTTGCAACGTTTCAACACCAACTGGTCCCTTCGGCAAGCGTTATCCATAATCAAAGCTTGACAAAGAGACCAGTCGGTCTTGAAGCGTTACGACACGTTTGATACGTCCATTGTTTTTGTAAACGTTTGATACAAAGAAGCTGTCATGTATTTGATCATGATTTTATCAGATAGGACAATCAGATATGTTTTCCTCTCTATTCTATCCACAGGCACCTTTCTTTAATTCAAACTTTTCTGTATGGAAACCACAGACCTGATATCAACATGCATGCAAAGTATCCTGACGGTGGTCGAGAGATTCATCATAGGTGCTTGACGATGTAATAAGATTACAACTAATTTCTTTTACTTTTCACAGATGAACGTCATCTAGTTTGCTGGCTGAATGAAGCCATCACAGATTGGTGTGTATCCACACGATTAAGTATAACCGGTTGGCTGATATAGAAAGTAACCAAATTTAGCAATACAATACAATAGTATTCAAAACACTAGTTCCGTGAACATATTGTGTCTTTCTACATTTTGTTTTGATTGGACAACTGTAAACTGCTTTTGAAAAGGACTTTAATGTGATAATCGTTGATGCGTGCAAAATCACCATTACGCTTTCTATCTTTGAAATAGTGAAATATTGCCGAATCTCATAAGGATGTTATCTTTGAATAAAACACAGCATATGCGCAAAGGAAAGATACGTGCACCACCTCAATATTGGGGTAGAAAGAATTTTATAGAATAAGCATGTTTTAGTACCGGATTTGACAGTGATGCAAACTAGGTTGACTACATGCCATAAATGAATCTGTCGAGTATTCTGCCCAACCAGTTCTTTTCCCCGTTTTTCCCATCCAATGTTTCGAATGCGCATACACTCGGAAACCGTATCTGTTCCGAACGTTTCGTTGGAGTGTCTCCATTTTTCGGTAACGATTTTGAATCCATATAATATTTCCGTACAATTTAACGTGCACTGCAGTGCTCGCTGGAAATGACTACTTTACCACCAGTCACAACACCGTCTTCTGTCTATTCCGGTCTCTTTGCAATATTTAATGCGTACCCTTTCATTTTAAATAGAACCGTTAAAATGTTGAAAAACTCAAGGAAAGAAAACGTCTATTAGCGTTGCGTTCCCATAACAATATCTTTTTCAAGTTTAACTGCTCCTAAGAGCGTGCCTTCCTGCAGTTCACAGAGTGCACCAACCTTGCGACAGGACTCCATGATGTATTTTACCAAACTTGCAAGCTCCTCCAAGCAACAAGAAGAAAGAGAAAATATTTTCCAAAGTATACATTTATAATCAATTGGACAATCTGTATTTATTTCCTGTCCCGTCGATAAAATATTTCGTCTCATGTTCCATTTTCTGCCGAACATTTTCTAGGTATCTTTCTGAAGGTTAAAAAACATGGTGAATGGTGACAGGGCAGACAAAAGAAGGAGCATGCTGTTCCTGATTATGTCTCTGAAAGTAATCCTCCATCAACCCAGATGCAATGATGTATTCGTCGAACCGCACTTTCTTGAAAAGTTCAGTATGGATGTGAAATGGGCCTTCTATAAAATCACATTGAATGCACGCGTGTTAAGACATATTGTACCACGGGGGTATAATTCTTGTACACCACTTGAAAAAATATTATTTTCGTTTGATTTATGGAAGTAAAATTTCTTAATCTTATTCTTTTAAAGTTACCCCTACCCTTTATTTGTGAAAAAATATTCATTTTTCACCATGTTTTCTAGATTAAATGCTTGATATAAAAAATGGAGGGTCCGTGTGCTTCTTTTTTGTCCCATTATTATTTGTGTTATTGTCACCTTTTTCGGGGTCAAAAATCAAAAGTGCTTCAGTTACACTAAATACGTAAAAAAACAAAACAATTATGTAAAATTTTCTATTTTGTTGCATAATATTTTGATCATATTGAACATTATAAAGTTGTATAGCAAAATTGGACCTGCTACAATTAAAAATGAAGGTGAAATTTTTGCATTTTGTGAAGCGCAAGAAATACACATTAATACACATTTTCAAAATTGCCGCCGAATTGGTCATTTTTTTAAATTCTTGTAAAAAAAGTTCTACAAACGACAAGCATCTAGGTTTTTTTGACATATTTTTCAGATGCGTGTTTGCTATTAAACTTGATCATAATTTGTTAAATATTACAAAAACCCGTTACACCAGATCAAAACGAGACTTGAACGTTATTTAAACCTCAGAAGAGTACATCCTTAACGTACATATGTCTGTCGTTCTATGTATTGACCTGTTGACTCTGATATATTAACGTGGAAGGGATGATATGCGTATACGTTTATATTTTTGAATCGACATACTTTATGACCCCTTATTTTACAGATGAGCTTACTTCAAATCAAACAAAAAGTCGATTGATTATTTATTTATTTTATTTTATTTTTGTCATTTTTTTCCTTCGTTTTCTTCTGGCATGTCTCTTTGTTTATATCTGTCAATGTCAAAGTCTGGTGTCAGGGCCAGAGGAGACATAAGCTAGACACGTGGACATATTTTTATGCTATAACACGTGGCGGGTAAATTATTGACCTTGCCTATATATATAAAGGACGGGTTTTAGATTCATTTCACATGACGTATTAGGAGATAGTGAAATGTACACATCGTCTGTGGCTATATACAATCAACATGGATTTCGGCTCGCTATTCAGCTTTAACACTGTGACAGTGGCTTTCGTTGTTGTATTGTTGATCCTGCTGGTCAGTCGGACACTACAATGGCCGGCCAATGTCCCACCCGGACCATCGGGCTATCCTATCATAGGAAGCATGCCTCTACTGCGAAAAGGAAACGTCCTGGAGACATTTCGAAAACTTCGAGCACAATATGGCGACGTTTTCAGTTTGAAGATTGGACCTAATCTCAACGTGGTTATCAATGGAAAGGAGGCGTTAAGAGAGGCGTTTGTTAAAAGAGGGGAGGAATTCTCCGATCGACCAGGCGGCTTTATGACAGAAAATATTTTCCACTCTAAAGGTAAATTGTGAAAAATCAAAGTAGATGCAAGTCCTCTGACAGTTTATCAGTACATGGATGAATATAATAGTTGCATTCTTAACTCTAGGACTATATTTAACAGAAAAAAATATCTCCCCTCCCGTTATATGAAAATCGTTTTTACCTGTGAGGGTATTGTTGTGGAATATTCTTTACTCTATGACTATATTTATCAGAGTAAAAAAACAACAACAACATACATACAACTAACATTTCATTCACATATATTAGTGAGGTGGGAGTGGGTTACGTGCCGTGAATGATTGGATAATTAGAAAGTATCAAAAGGGAAAATATGCATAGAAAAATGAATATATACAAATATAAAGATAAGATTGACAGTTATATCGTAATTACATGACTCATGAGTTAATGTTTCGAATAATTGATCACATAAAACCACCGATACAAAATCAGGTTTAAATCGTATATAATCTTACTTTTAGGTATTGGTTTCTCTTCTGGTGAACACTGGAAACAAACCCGGACATTTTCTCTGTCCACACTTCGGAATTTTGGATTTGGAAAGAAGTCTTTGGAATCAAGAGTCCAAGAAGAAATAGAGGCTTATTTGAAATTCATTGAAAAACAGGAAGGACAACCTTATGACATGAAAAAAATTACAACCATTGCCATATCAAATATCATATGCAGTATTACGTTCGGAAACCGATTTGAATACACTGACGCAAAATTCAAGCGACTTACATCGCTTTTCGCTGAGAACTTTCGGTTACTTTCAGTTGGAGGGGCCCTACGATCTTTTCCTGGAGTAAGATTCCTTCCTGGAGATATGTTCAATGTGAAGAAGCTGATTCAAAATTTCGCCGATATCAAATCTTTTGTTTTTGAACAGATCGCTGAGCATCGAAAAACGTATGAAGAGGAGAATCAGCGAGATTTCGTCGATGCGTTTCTAAGACAACAAATCAAACATGGTGAAGATGATCCGATATTTGAAGGTATGTAGCAAAGGTAGCAAAGCAGAGAATTATTACTCTTAAACAGTGTATATTTTAAACACTGTTTGATCAAACAAAAATCAATAGTGATCATGCATTGGTAAGTATTATCCTGTATTACCAAAAACGTATCAGAACACTTTTTTTTAATCTTTTGACCCTCAAAAGTCTAACGTTATAATTCAAATTTGCTGGATTTAAATTTTGTTGGGAAAGTTTTTTTTCTTTTGTATTTGTTAAAATATGCTGTCAAATATTTCGTTTTTTTCCTATACCTGGCATTATTTTCTAATTTTCATGTATGGACACAGATATGAACTTAACGACATCCGTCATGAATTTGTTTGGCGCCGGGACTGACACAACAGCTACCATAATTCGCTGGGCGATCATTTACCTCATTCACAACAAACCTATCCAGGATAAGCTCCGACAGGAGATAGAGTCTGTGGTCGGGACGTCAAGGCTTCCGTCACTTGGCGACAAACCCTCCATGCCTTACTACGAAGCATTTATAACAGAGGTTTTACGAATGGGCAACATCGCCCCACTGTCTGTGCCTCACGGGGCCTTAAAGGATATCCATTTCCGGGGCATGATTATCCCAAAGGGATCGTTGATAATACAAAATCTTGACTCAGTTATGACTGATCCAGACCTGTTTGAGAATCCGGATAAGTTTCAACCAGAGAGATTTCTAGGAAAGGACGGACAAATGAATGGCAAGGAAAGGACTGTAATGGCTTTCTCTCTAGGTACTTATATAGTTTGTTAGTTTGCTTGCTTTTCATTCGTAAATTTTATTGATATAGATATTTGATAAAAATGATTATAGATATTATTTATATATTGTAATTACATTTTGTTTATCGACGTTTAGACCAGTTTTGATTTTTTTTTTGTCCCGTTAATAAGCATCACTTATAAATTATAGAAGTAAAGAACAGCTGTTTGGTCCAGTGTAATTCCTTGTTCAATATTTGAGTGATTATGCTCTGACAGTTTAGCCGCAAATCTCGAAATAAAGTAAAGATGTCCCATAAACTATTGTATGCATAAATGATTTGATGACTTTATCTGATTATATCTTTTACAGGACGACGAATCTGTCTTGGAGAATCTCTGGCGAGGTTAGAGCTATTTTTGTTTTTAACCTCATTGCTGCAAAGGTTCGAGTTTTTCCCGGAAAGCCCCGACAAACTCCCATCATTTGACGCGACCCTGGGATTGGTTCGGGCGTCCAAGGACTACAAGTGCTGCGCTGTTAAGTTGAAATGAAACATTGAAACAAAAAATCTGTGAGGATGTTTAATTATATCATAGAGATGTTATCATATAGAATTCCATTTTGTTTGTAAGTTTGTAATATAATCCCAAAGGACTAGACAGAATTTGATGAAACTTTTCATTTATTGTACTCATGAAATATCTATGGAATACAGGTGCTCTTATGTGCGGCCTCGGAAAACAGTTCATCTGGTGGGTCCCAACTCCTCGGGAAAATAGGTTCGGCTGTTGACTGATAAGGCATGAAACAACTGTAAAATGTGATTTCGGTATTGAGGGTTTTGCAAATGTGAAGGTTAAATGGTTGCTATTTTATTTTCATGGTAGACAAGACCCCTCCCCACTTAAACCATCTTAATAATTCATGTAGTAATTCAGGCAAATTGATGCCTTATCTTAATGTGATTGCAACGTTACATATTAACGAGATCTAACTCTGTGATACTAATTAAGCTGCACACTTATCCAGTGCCATTTTACTCTGTATTCAATCCAAGTGTTTTCACGCATGTATTTCGGATTATTTACACACATTTGAGTAAACTGATACAATATAAACTGAGCATACCATGTTTTGAGTGCATGCTAGAGTTGATCACAGTAGCATAGAAATAAGAATACAATGTATCATACTCTGCCACGAAGGGATGCTAATAAACGTCCCTTTGTCCAACCACCTCTATACAAAAATGCAAAGGAATGAAGTGACGAAAAACCGTGTAAGCGTTAAACATTTCTTTCGTAATATGGAAATATCGTGTCCTAAAAGTTTGTGGATGGTAAATTTAATCCACAAATGTATATGTGATCCCTGTCACTCTGGTAAAATACAAACTTCTTCCAACTGGATATTTTGGCTCTGAAAAATACAGCAGACGTCCCGGGTGAGATCCCTAACGAAGATATTTAAATATCAATTACCACGGTCACATACTTGCCGCTATGAGCCACGAAAAAGACTATAACGACTGTGGTTACCGGTTACATAGTTTATTATCTGTGTCTCCATATGATCTTACCTGTTCGCTTACCTGTAGTCACGTGCATGCGTGTGTACACACTCTGACATATCCTATACGCTTCGTTCCATATAAAATTATTTTTGAAATGACCCCTGCTTTTTACTTGTCTAGGTCTCTGTCTCCTTGCTCCGTGCTAGGTCTACCCCAAAATGAGAAAGGTATATTAGGACTTGAGGAAGGGGGAGCACCATCGATCTTGCTGCTATATTTCCATGCAAGATTTTTCTTATTTATTTGAGCAACCAATGGTGAATGGGCTGGGGTGTGATAGGGTGGGGTGGGATGGGGGAGGGAGTGGGAATGAGAGGGAATGAAGG